TGGGCAGCCCATCGGGCCTGTCTATACTTAGGACAAAATTTAATTGCATGGGTCGGGTCACCACAGAATATGCACTGACCCAAGTCCACGTGTTCCTGCCATACGCGCTGGTCCAAGCCCAAGTCTTCCCAGGGCCTGCCCTGTGGCAAGCCTGGGTGCCATCCTCCTTGAGGTGGCCTTCCACCTCGTCGCTGTGGGGACCGACAAGAACCCTGGCGATTTGGCGGGGGACCTTGACCCCTACCTCCCGCTTGGCGGTTTCCTTGTCCGCCAACCCCCTGTGCGCCCGGTCCTCGGCCTTCCATGGCCTGGTCCCTTTGGCCCTGGCCTCCTCCTGTACCTTGCGGCCTCCCTCCGGCCGCGACAGCAGCGTAAGACCTCCCCTGCCCTACGCTACTGTCATTCTCCTCTAACCGCCACTCAATCTCACTGTAGGGGACTTCATCAGAACCACCTTCTTCTAAAGTAAGGATCATATGATCCTTGGCCCTGACTTGGCCAGAGATGGTACGACCTTTCCACTTTTTCCCCTTATCCAAGTCCTTATGCCAGAAAGTGGACACTGGCATGGACTTTGACTCATACAGGACCACCTCTTTACTCAGCACATCATAGGTGATGTTTGCCTGTTGAGCCCTCTCAAAGAAATGCCCACGCAGGGGCTCGGGCATGGCATGATAAAACAATTGGACCAACTGGAGCTCAGTGAGCCCATGGTCTGGGACGGCTACCAAGTCGTCCATAACGCCCTTGAGTGCTCTTGCACTCCTCCACTGTCGCGAGTGGATCGTCTATAACTTGTCAGAGGCTCTAACACCTCTCGTTGGGTCAGCAAATCTCTCCCTCAGGACTTTGAAGAATTGAGGAAGGGTGGTGATCTTAGAGTATGGAACCAGGTTGTTTTCACAACCGGCTGCGCGTGCAAGGTATCTCGCAAAATTGGCCACTTCATCTTTGAGGGTCTGGAAGGCGACGAGGACTTGTTCCTCAATCAGGATGTGCTGTAAGTAAATGTAGCTGTTGACGCTCGCCTCCCAGTTATCAAAATTCTCCTCCTTCTTCCCCCCATAGGCATCTGGGAATTTAAGCTTAACAGGCTCCTTACGGGGCCTGACCTCACCGGCAGAGTTTTATGTGCCCCAGGACGAGAGGAATGCGTTAGCCAGTGAGCTAGCGGCAATGGAGGACCCCCTAGAACGGAGAGAAAGGGAAGAAGAGAAGAAGTTGGAGTGGAAGCTGAGGATGAAGAGAGAGAAGAAGAGAAGGAGGGACAAAGTTAACTGGTTGATCGAGGAGGTGGCAAAAGCAAGGGATTGCCGACAAGAGGTCCAGGCGCAGCCAGACATCTCTGCCAAAATGGACAAGATGTTGGGATATCTGGAAGTGTCGAGTGCGGCCTGGTTGGAGGAGTGTCAAACCAATAAGGGTCAGGATGTAGCCCTGAGTGCCATGCTTTCTCCTCTCTCTTCTATACGGCTTCTCCCTTTGGCTTCTTCTGCTGCTTCTTCTTCGGCAGCCTTTCTCTTTTCTTCCTCCTCCTGCTGAATCCTCGTCATCTCTTCCTCCAATTTCTTCCTCTTCGCCGCCTGCTCCTCTACGATCGCCTTCAACTTCCTTTCCTTATTTTCTCTCACTAAGGCGGTCATCTTCTGTTGTTGCTCTTGGGTGTAGGGGCTAGTACTCTTCCCACTACGGGTCTCAACCATGGTGTCAGTGCACAACTGGATTAACGGTTCCAAACCTCAGTCAGTGCACCCCTGACTGACAAACCTATTGACTCAATCTAAGACTCACAGAATCCGGACAGGGATCCTGCCAACTAGGGTCTCTAGCCTAGACCTACACTATGGCTGTCACTACTAGACCTGTTGCTGATCAGGAGGCATTTAAGGAGATCCCCCGTAACTCCTCGGGAATTATTTAACGTTGCAAACAGGACGACTCGATCAGCAGGTCTCTCAACACTTAGACGGCCTGTTGTGCAGCCAACAGCTCGGATTTTGGGCCTACCGTGCCACACCGAGCAGCCCGCCGGTCAGTACCGGTCCTTGGGAGGGATCGTGTCCTCCGGGACAGTCGAGTCGTCAGACACAATTGTTAGCCCTACTCAGCCCATGTGGGGTTGGTCAACAAGGCCCTATCCTTCATCCACAGAGTACTATCACCTGGACAGAAGAGACTCGATGCAGAAAGAAGAGACAGACAGACTAGACTCAGCAAGTACCATAGGGTGTGTGCTCATCCATAGGGCGAGGGATAGGCTGAAGGCTTGGCGAGATTTTACCGGCTCCAGCTTAGTCAAAGTCTTGGTCAATGCCTTGGTCAACGCCGGTCAACGCTGCGGTCAACTCCCAGTCAACCCCCGGTCAACCCCCGGTCAACTCAGGTCAACACCGGTCAACACCGGTCAACACCTCCGGTCAACTCTCCCGGTCAACCCTTCGGTCAGCTATGGCTGCCGACTTCTCTTTCCCTCACCAACCTTCTCCTTCCCTTCACCTTCCTAACCTCCTTTCACCCCAGCTGTTTCTCTTCCTCTCTCTTTTTTTTTTTTTTTGATCGTCTTCCTCTTTGCCCCCTCGGCTATGGGTTCTCTCTCCTTTCTCAGTCTCCCCCTCTGTCCACTCTCTCTCCCTCCTTCGTCACTCCATGGTCAAGCTCCGAGGCTATGGCCGCAATCTTCTTCTTCTTCGTGGGCTGCGCAGCAACTTCACAGGTACGTAACAGCCAAACTTGTATCGCTCATCTCTCTCTCTCTCTCTCTCTCTCTCTCTCTCTCTCTCTCTCTTTCTCTCGCGGTAATCTCCAGCGCAGCAGGTACGTAGTA